TCCTCAGTCTAGTGGTTCTACACTTAATGCTCCTTAACCTCCTTCCTGAGGGGAGTGGGGCAAAAAGTGTGTGTGCTGGGTGGGTGGGGTCCTTCATGATGCAGGTGGCCCTCTTCCTGCATCTGGAGGTGTAGATGTCTGTGATGGTGGGGAGGCTGATTCCGACAGATTTCTGTGCAGCCTTCACCACTCTCAATGAGATTGAGGTGATTGAGGTCAATGAGATCATTCTAAATTGAATGAGACACTCTCAAATGAGTCTTCTAGGCTGTGACTTATCTGTCTAAATAAAGGTTGAATGAAAAAGTGTTATTCCTACAAAGTATTTATACACTAAGCAGCACATGTGACCCATAAAATGAGGTCCCAGCACAGTTCTCCAGAACCAGTGAGAAAACGAGAGCTGCTCCACGTTCGAATAAAAACAGTTCTGGACGTTGTTGTGTGTTCTAGCTCTTTCACATTCCTGCAGTTTTTGGGTCATTGCTGATTATTTGTGTAATTTTCCCTCAGACTATGTGCAGACAGGCCCGTACAACAAGGCCTACACAGAGTCCCAGCTGCAGGCGGGGGGCGGCTTCATCCTGCCTGACTTCAACGAGGAGCAGGTTTGACATCAACTTCTATTATTAGGAGACACAAAAATATTTTCTGTAAAAAAACTTTTAGACTCTGGTGTGTCCACTTCATGTCTAACATCACAGTTTATCAGCACTTTTACTTTGTCAGTCCACCTTTTTGTCAAAACTCGTGTTATGAAGCAGAATTCTGCATCTCAGAGGCTTTCGTTGAGCCTGTTGGTCACCATGGTAACAGAGGCTGAACTCACCTGCTCAGGTGGAGGTGATGAGTCCATGTTTCAAAAGCTCCAACCATTTAAACAACATGGTTCTGTCTGATTTGAACGTTTAAATAAAATTGGATGACAACGAAAAGGTCAGTGTGCCACATTTTAAATATTAATAAAATCGTTTATGATATATCTTATTTAACAGATTGACTTCAGATTATTGGCTGTGGACATTAATCTCAAGGCTCAAGCATTGTGCTTGATCAGAGCTATTTTTAATCAACTTGTTTGAGTCTCAGCAGAGGAAACGGCAGCAAGGTGCAGTTAGACAGCAGCTGCAATAAGATGTAAAAACATCGTACAACACACTCGTCACCGTCACAACTAAGGCGGCCTTTTGTGTTTTCGACCCTCGTCATGGAGCAAAGAAGGAGAATTGAAAGTGCAGTCCAACCGTGCATGTTATGAGCACAAAAACATGAAAAATAGGTGAGGTACCGACTTCCATTTTGATACATAGCTGTGTCTATAAGAAAGCCGTGTCAAAATCCAAGATGGCTACCACCATATTAAACAACCAATCCAGATTTTTTGAGGAAGCTATGCTTTCTAGGTTTTATATTACTGAAAAGTAGTTTCCTCCAATGAGTGTGGCGGCTGAATAATCTTTGATGGTCAAGGCCACCATTAGCCACCCCCTGGCTCCACCACTGCACCTGGTGGCGGATAAAGTTGCTCCCTCCACTCACCAGGATCTGTCACTTTGTGCTGCCTCAGACAAAAAAACAACCAAACACCACCTCTGTTCTTCTAACTCCAACCCACCTGAAAGTCTTGGAACAAAAACATTTGGGTTTACTTGCATCCCGTTCAGTTCCAGTCCAGAAAAACATCTTGTAAACTACAAACATTCACAGTTCCGATCCCTCAGCGACGAACAGACATCGGCTCGTTGAATGTTTTGAATGTCACGTTCACTCAGCTCTCCTAAAAACCACAAGGTTGTGTAGTGAACTTAATCTGGTGTCACGACTAAGCCTAAGGTCAAAATCCTTGACCTTAAGAACCTTGTGGGACAGAAACTGTCATTTCATTGATTTGAATCCAGAGATACAGGTTCACCCATCCTGAGACTTTCTTTCTTGAAGATTCAAGTGAAAAGAACACTCTCTTTTTTATTATCATTACTATTTTACAAATGTTGATAATCAAAGTGTCTTAGTTCAAACCATTTTAGATGTTGCAGTGAACTAATCAATTTTATTAACTGTGTAATGATTTTTAAATTCTCATGCAAAGTTAGAATTCATGTTGAGGTCTGTTACAGATTTTTATGCATTTTCTGATTTTCTGTCTTTGAATGAGCAAGTGTAAGTTGGTCCAAGGTTGGAGTCAAACGCAAAACAAGTTGTTGGAACGAACTGTCATGTTTTAGAATCCTCTCAGACGTAAATATAGAGGTTTTGGCACCTGTTTCTGAAACGCGCCAAAACAAAACTCTCTCTGTCTGTGAGAACATTTCTGATCTTTCCATAACAATTCTTGCTGCATTCTAACCTTTTACGTCACAAAACACACCCCGTCTGGTCGGTTCTGGCCAATGGGAGACTCCCGTATGAACCGGGAAAAGGGCTCTTTAAATTGTCGGTACTTCCTGGTCGGCTCAGCTCTGCTCGAGATCTGTAAACTACTCAGTTCTGCTGGAGTTCTGTGAGGGTTCCACTCGGTTCGGTTGAGTTCAGTTCTGTTCTGTGCGGAGAAGCCCAGTTCTGGGAGACGGGAAGATCCTGACATGACAACAGAGCTCTTCCGAGTCATAGGAATATAACACTTTCCACTCGCCACTACTTCTGACGAGCTACAGCCATCCGAAGGAGACGCTGGACAGGTAGCGTTAACGGAACTCCATATCTGCTGATTAATCTCAGAAAGGTAATGAGTCAAGTTTCCTACCAAGCGTACCGAGGTGAGCTGGGTTCTGATGGAGAGTGTCGGTTCTGGTGAACACTTCCCCTCACATACCATCTTTACTCCCTTTAACTTCTTTCCCATCTTTAAACTTTCCTCTCAAGTAGAAATTCTTCCAGATATTTTAGAAATGTCTGTGTAAAGTGCTCATCCACATCCGTGTGGGTAAAAGATCATAATTGTACAGTTTTCATAAATGTCTGTGGTGAAGCAACGGAAAAATCATGGCCGTATGATTTTTCCTGATTGCTTATGTTGTTATTTTCATAATTTGCCAAATTAATGTAAATGTTTGATGTTAAACTTTGATTCTGTAAATAAATGACCGCATTCATTTTGATGGTTCAAATATAAATGACGTCTCACGTTTGCATTTCATTAAATTCAATGCACGTTTATTCAGTTCAGAAAAATGAGGAATCCGCGTTAATTGATGAATATATCTGAGCATCTGTTCATCTACAGTTGTATTATCCAAAGATTTTCCTCATTCCCTGACTGTTAAAAGACTTTCTTGTAAATTAATGACACTTTGTTTTAGTGGGAACACTGGCTTTGTCCAAACCATTTCTCCCGTTTCCTCCTCCAGTGCGCGGCAGCCTACCAGAGCCTGCTGATTGCAGACCAGCACTGCCGTAGCAGGAAGTACCTGCTGTGTCTGGCCAGCGGCGTGCCGTGCGTGTCTCATATTTGGGTGCGAGACTGCTGCAAGGAGGGCAAGCTGCTGAACTACAGGAACTACCTGCTGCCAGCCGGCATGGGCCCGGACGACGCCATAATGGAGTGGTGAGAAAACCTTATGTCTCCTTTTTATTTGATCTGAAGACTGGAAGCTTTCACTGGTTTCCTCTTTCAGGCACCCCCGCTCCAGCCCCTTCAAGGCGCTGCGTGTCCTCCTGGTGTTTGAGAAGCCAGCCGAGCTCTGGGCCCAGCTGATGACCATGGGCGGAGCTTCTTCTGTCCGACACTTCCATGCAGACAAGGACAGCCCTGGTACAAGACCACCTTTGAAAACTCACCAACCCCTCTCTGAAAACCTTTTAACTTGTTCTTCTTCCTGTGCAGACATTCCTTCTGGGAAGTACGACGTGGTGGTGACAGACCACGCCTGTCCCCCACAGCTGGAGAAGAACGTGATGTCACAGGAAGTCCCGCTGGTGTCTCCTGAGTGGCTTGTTCAGAGCCTGATCTGTGGCAGGCGCCTGGACTTTGTCGGCAGGCCTCAGTACCACCACGACTCGTCTTCCTCCTCGTAATCCCGTCCAACACATGCCGTGGGCCGAGCTCCGTGGTTTGATGTGCTGCATGCTCTGCTGTATATACCCTGTGTGTTTTTATGGAACAATAAACTGTGACCCGTTTCATTTTAACGGCTTTATTCACTCTGCAGGAAACAGTTCACATATTTACACTTTGTACAAACGAGCTGTGAGGAGTGGCAGAAACAAACAGGAAATCAGTTTTATCTTGATCACAACTTTTAACTTTTACATGAAAAACTAAACATTTCAGTTTGGCTCGTTTCAAAAGACAGACAAGTAATTCTTCATCTTCTGCCAAATTATAAAGAGCTGCCTAATTTAGCTATTTTTGAAACTGATTTTACTCAGAAGGGGCAATATATACAAGTTCTTTAAAAAAATACGAATCAGATATTCAGTTTGACTTGATGAGGTAAGACAAAGTTCAGAAGAATCCTGGAGGACCTTTAACACCAGTCTGAGGTCATTTCAGATGTTTTAGACAGTTTCAGATCAAAAACAATAATTGTTTTTGTCAAGCTAACAAGCCTGAGCAGAGCAAGGACCAGAGTGGATCGCTGCCATTACGTCATTATTTTATAAACTTTTACATCTGACAGTAAGCTGTTAATGTCCCTCGTCGCAGAAGTAGAGACTTTGAAATACCGTCTGTCCATGATGTGAGCACGAAAACTTGAACAATAAATGCCCATGTCCATGCCCTCACTGAAGCAACCACTGAGCCCTGTGTGTGGAGCAGCGCTGCCATCTAGGGCGCCTGGGGGAGTAGATGGTGGGGGTTAAAGGGTACTGCTTAAAAGTATAGTTTCCTCAGCTGATCTGGATGACCAAAGATTAGTCTGTGGCGGTCAAGGCCACCATTTGCCACCCCTTGGATCCAGCAGTGAGCCTCCACTGAACCGCCAGTCTGCTCTGCCTCGGACAACCAAAATTAAACACTTTCTCTTTCTACAGTAACTCCTACCCTCTTGAATATCTTGCAGCAAAAACATTTAGGTTTACTGGTATTTACATTCGCTGTTCAATTCCAGTCCAGAAAAACACTCATCTGAAGAACTACAAACATTCACTGCTCCCTCAGCGTACTGCTCGTTTACAGTTAATTACTCGGTTGTTAGTCTCAATGTTTGTGGAGCAGCTTCTGTGAGAACTGTCCAGATGTTTCACTACAGTAACGGCTTCATGTGAAGTTTTAAAACTAGTCTAAAGCCCGGGAGGGGGGACGGAAGCTTTTAGTCTGGACTCTGCTCAGACCAGCCACTGGTTCATCAGTTCAGTCAAAACTCTTTGAACTGAAGTCGTTCACAGATTCCTGTAGTTAAAAATGCCACTCCAGAAAACCTAAACTATCACTTTAAACTTTGAAATAACAAAAAGAGTTCTTGTAACTAAATAACAAAAACTAAAATTGCTGCTTTAGCTTTATAAAAAAGTTCAAACGTGTCTAGTGCGGTGATTTACTAAAAGTTTTATATTTTATTTTTCACAGGATTAAAATGGGGCGAATGATCCCAGTGGGATTCAGTTATTTTAGGTGCTATTCACCTAAAAGTAATCTGTAATATAAATGTGATTGTCTCTGGAGTAAACGAGCAGAAAACACTTCGTACTTTAAGAAGCTGAGCGGCAGGATGTTGTTGAACTGGAGCTGCTTCTGATGAAACGGTCTGAACCCGTGGTGCTCTCCTAGATGCTGAAAAGAAAAAACGTGACTCCATTAATGAAAGTTGATGTGTGTGAAGGTGACGCTGTGTGAGTGTGGGTCCTACCCGCCCAGCGTGCCTCCAGCCTGTGTGTAGTATTTGTTGTAGTCCAAACGCAGCAGCAGCTGAGCGAGGTCGGAGTTGATCTGATGGTTCCTCACACTCGAGAAGATTTTGAACAGCAGTGACGACTGGCGCCGGAAGCCCTGAAACGTGTCCGTGTTAGCTCCAGAACAAACTGTTACACTAATACAGCGCTCCGTCAGTTACCATCACCAGCAGGTCCAGCTGACTGGTTCCTCTTTCATCCAGCGACGCCACGTTCTGACTGACCAGAGAACAGAAGCTCTGACACAGCTCCAGGATCTCGTTCAGGCAGTGGAACACCTGAGGACATGATGAGGACACGATGAGGACACGAGGTTTTCTCATCAGGGTCTGATGATGGAAACAGTCGGCTGTCTGGGCGAGGCCTACCGGCTTCAGGAGGATGAATGACTGGGCCAGCAGGTTGCTCAGGAAGTGGTCGTGGGCCAGTCGGATGCTCTCAAAGTCTCTGGTGGAGTTGATCTGCTGGAGCAGCTGAGAGAACTGAGACTCCAGAACGTCCACCTGGAGACGCACAGGAAGACAAATGTTCACAGATACTGTACAACCCCTGTCCTCCCCAGGTTCAAAAGGTTTATGAGCATCTTGAATCCAGTGGCCTCCAGAAGTTGATGGGTTGTAGATGTGCGTGCAGTAATGTCTCGACCTGGTTCTGGTACCTGTAAGTAGTACTGCAGGTTGTCGATCAGGAACGCCATGTGGTTCCGGAGTCTCCACTTCACCGCGTCCGTCTGGCTGGACTTCAGGCGCTTCCTCTGCATCTGCAGAGCCCAGCAGTGCTGCAGCTGTGACTGCACCTGCCGCACACTCAGCAGGTACCTGAACACCACGTTGTACCTGAACGCCACACGAGGAGGAGGAGCAGACTGGAGGTGAGGATGGTCATGAAGCACGCTCCAGATGAGACATGATGAGTTACAGTGCTACACACTTCTCCAGGACAGCAGGAGTGAAGAGGATGTGCAGCGGCCACTGAACCTTGTAGGTGAGGCCGAGTGCCGCCCAGCCGGTGGGAGGGACCTCCCGAGGAGACGTGTCCTGGGGAGGGGTGGCTCCATCTCTTTGGCCCGACACTTCTGAAAACAAACAGTAAAGGTAACCATCAATAAAGTTCCAGAACAGTTTTAAAAGTGCTTGTTTTTACCCAGTTAAAGCAAGAAATCACAGATCAAACCAGCATGTCCCGTCACTGAGGGACTGAATATTACTTTTTTTTTTGGGGGGGGGGGGGGGGGGGGGGGGGGGGGGGGTGGGGGGGC